CCTGCTGAAATCAGTACTTTAAAATATATTTTACACTAATGGCTCTGTCTGCTAATCCCCACTTCCCCAAATGCTAACATGATACATTATAACAATCAAAAGTAAAATTTGCTATAAAATAAATTTAGTTTTTCAACTGACCTGCTTCAAGTATAAATTAGTTCAAATAACACTGGAAGAAAAACAGAGAATTTAAGTCTAGGATTTTAACGTTTTATATATATAATGTGTTCAGTTAGAATACCCTTAACTTCTCTAATAATTCATACATTTACTTGAAAGATTGTTTCAATTTCCTCAGAAACCCTCAAGGCCTTCATGTCTAGAGGCCATTTATAACTAGTTCTTTTGGTAGCACTGTGTCCTCAAAAATAGTCCTAAACTCTTAATGAATTAAATTTGTATTCTGTATCTTGTTGTAAAAGCAGCTAAACTATTATATTTGAATGAAACATGTTTATTTAAAATCAGAGAAGGGACCTCACAAGTCCAACACCTTCTTTTTTCAAGTCTGGATTCTTTCTGCATTTCTGCCAAAATGTTGCCCAGATTCTTCTCAGATATCAGTAGAATATAAATTGTTGCTTGTATCCTTAATTTTTTCCCCTCTGCTTATTTATCATTCATGTTAAGACCTTTAAAGACCTTCCTACAGTTTAACTGGGAGTAACAGAGCCAGGAAGATCTGGATGTGCTTCTGGGTGTGCTTAAGTAGAATGACACAAACCTTTAAGAGGAAATTAAACATTTCTCAATCAAATGTGATTCCAGTCTAACACAATTTACGTCTGGCCAGGGAATAGACTTACAAGAAGATCTTAGAGAAATGTAATTAGAACCTTGTTTTTATACTTTCTATAAACATAAATCCTGGACTCTGCGCAAGACAGTTATTTTAGTTTGCATTTGTACAAGATTTTTAAAAATACCTTATTTTTCTGTTATGAGTCACAGGTACAATAAAATATTCAAACGTTGCAAAAATATATTGAGAAAGTTAAAGTTCTCCTTACCTACACACACCTTTCCTAGGCCTGCAACAGTTTGGTGTGTAACTTTGGATTTCTGCCAAGAGCTTTCATATAAACGTATGAATTGTGGGAAGACTCCTTCTCCATTAAATTAACTTCTTGGATGGGTTTTATAGTAACACTAAATATACCATAACCTATGGGGACACCTCTGTGCCATTGTTATGGAAAGCAAAAGAAAATATGACTCTCTATACACAATTTACTTTCCCTCTTTCGTAAATTTGTCTAATTTTGTAGAACTGAATACACTGAGAGTGGACTCTTCTTAAATGGAATTATAAGTTAATTTTTCCTTTAATATTTTCTCATTTTATTATGGTTTTTTAAACAGAGGTTAATATTAGTAGTTAGACAATCCAAAACTAAGTAGTAACGTCTCAGAACCCGCTCTTTATTCATTCATCTGATATTGGAGTGTGCCCTGAATTCCAGGTCCTGTGCTGGACTATATGGGATGGAATGAAGAAAAACATAGACAAGGTCCCTGCCCTCATGGAACTCACATTCTAGTGGGACACAAAAAATACGAAGAAAATTAAAATGCAGTGTACTCTGTGGCTTTGTTAACCTAGTGGGTAGAGGTTGGGGGTTTGGGGAAATGTCCCTGAGCAAGTAACATATGCGTTGAGCTCTGAAAAGGGCCAGTTTGGGAAGTATTGTAGTAGTAATCTAGGTGAGAGATTATGGTCAGAGTCGTGGAAAGAGAGGGCACGGAGAGGATGGAAAAACTCCCAGAAAT